AGAAACTCCATAATATTTGTGCAGAGTCTAAGACTCTTGATTTCAGCAAAAATGAGCCCTTCAATTTATCAAGGAATCGAAGATTCCAAGTTTATTCTCAAAAGAGAAACTCTTTTATATGATTTTAGGAAAATCAAGACTTGACAAACGATGCCTCATAGCAATGGGTAAAGAGAAGTTGAAAACTCTAACTTGGAGTCAAAGAGTACGTCTTCATTTCACCCTTCTTTAATGGTCTTTGAAAGACCACGAATGGATCTTTGAAAGACCAAAAGTTGCTGCCATTTTATTTTCACATTTGCTGGAACAAAGGTGGTGTAATACACGAATGAGGATGATGAGGAGTTAGAAGCTCCATTGATTCATGCAATTCTTAATGAGCTAAAGACTATTATACAAGTGCATTCACTTCGGTGATTTTTTAAGAGGGGAGTCGAAGACTCCATGACTCATGATTTGTGACTTTGGAAGTGGTTCGGAATCACCAGAACGGGCTGATTTTAAATAGTCTGAGACTCTTTAATGGTGAGCAAACAAAAATTTTGGTAGCAGGCTAGTAGGCACAATGGGGGAAATTGAAAGAGTCCAAGACTGTTGTTGATTCTTCCACCGTTCTTGAATTGTATTTGCCACTGGTTTTCTGCAACAGAGTGTTAGTAAAGTAACAAAGTGGACTAGGAATGGGCAGAAATTTCATTCCATTAGAGCCAAAGACTAGAGGTTGCATACACATATTTTCAGGCAATGGAGTTAAAAAAAATTCTTTCCGTATGTTTGCACCAGTGGACTTCGCCGAGGAAGTCGGAGACTCCATGAAATTTTGTTTTCTAGTCAAAGACTCCGGGTTTTTTTTTTTTGGGAGTTAGAAACTCCAATCTTTTTTTAAAAGGAGTTCAAAACTCCATTGCTGCCCATTCTTTTTCTTGAACCCACTGCCCAGTGGCTTGAAAAGCTTGTTGGCCTTCTCTCGTTTTTTTTTTTTGACCGTCTATATTTGCCGAAAGAGTCAAAGACTCTTGTTGATTTGAGAGGATGGTGAGGCTCTTTCCGACTTCTCAAAAGTGTATGAAGTTCTTGGGATTTCTGAAAAGAGTTAAAAACTCTTGTGGCCGCACCAAACTCTAGGAGTTTAAAACTCCTATACCTTATAATTTCAGGGGATCAATATTGTCTTAATTGCTTCGGATTGCTGTGGTTTTGAACCAATTTGCTCCATTCAAAAGATTTGAGAGATTAAATCCACAAGACAGAGAGTAAGCAGATTTTTTTTTTACCTGTTGCAAATCTTCAGAATTTTTTTCTTTGCCTTTCTTCCTTCTCTTCTCTCTGCCAAAAATTCCCTTTCTCTTTTTTGCTCACCTTTTTTTTTTCCTTTGATAACCCTCCTCAACTCTCCTCCTGATCTCTTCCTTTGCTTGCTTTTTCGCCCTTTAAATAGAGGGCAAACATTAACTGATATAAGGCTTTAGTGGGCTAAGTGTCAGCATGAGTGATTGCTGGNTTTTTCGCCCTTTAAATAGAGGGCAAACATTAACTGATATAAGGCTTTAGTGGGCTAGGTGTCAAGCTGCATGAGTGATTGCTGATTCTCCCATGATATGCCAACTGTTTTTAACTTTTACTAGTAGCAGATTTTTAGGTAGTGGGGCTTCCACTTATCTTGAAGTAACCACTCATAACATGTGTAAAAATCATTTGCTAACTTTAAACACCGGCTACTACTGGAGTATGACCGCGATGTTTGTGATCCCATTCAAGTCTTGGTTGAATTTTTTTAACCATGGCTATGAGAACACATCCAAAATGTAACAAATGAGTTTGGAGACTCTTTTAATGATTCCGGTCATGAATAAATAGCTTATGGGAAAAATATTGCACCTAGCGTGCACCCATCACCAACAAATTCATACTAACCTTTAATTGAAAATTTTTTATGTTCAACAACAACCACATTGGGAAGAAGCTTCAACGTAAATGTCTTGTTCAACATATATGGTGTAAGTAGCTATTATAATAATTTCATTGTCATAATAATAATAATAATTTTTGAGGGGGTTCATTTTTTTTCCGAACTCAAGGAAAGAATCATCAAAAATTGAAAGCAAACAAATAATAGTGAAACTTGCCTCTGGTAATTGCTCTACCGATACATTGGTCAAAGTATATTCATCTCCAAGTGGTAATCAATATCGACTCTTGAGGCAGTTCTAAGCATGTACTTAGAGTAAATAGAAGGTAAACTGTCGGTGGAAGCAATCCAAAGTTATTGATGATCCATCTATCAATACACATAACTACCTTAAATAACAATCAAAATAAGCGTAATTATTAAGAGTTCAACCTAGTCACAAAACCTATTTAATTTTAAAAATAAATCAAATTATTCTTGATGAGCCCAAATCTAACTGGTTCAGGCCCAATAAACCAAGTAAGTCTAAGTCAATTAAAAGATAGGTCAAGCCCAGTTTGTGAATTTGACCCAACCCAAAGTCCGAAGAGTCCAAGAAGAATTCGAGCACACAGGAAGAAATTATCAAGATATTCACTTTCAAATATTAAGACACTTTCAAATATTAAGACAACTTTTTATGGCGATTACCTTTTGTAGACACCCGAAAAATTAGTACATTTGCCCTCAAGTCACCGCCTTAATCAAGGCTCTGTGCCTATAAATTATAAGTTCTCTCTACATGAGAGGACACATTGAGCTCTACCTCTACACCTCTCTACACACACATACCTTGTCTCTCTTCTAGCTATTTACCTCTCGTGGAGTTAATCATTATTCTTTCTCTCATTGACCTTACTTTATCAATAAAGACCCCCAGCCACCGTTACCATTTCTCAGAGTGGAGTAAGTTACCCGGACCAAACCATTATATATATGTGTGCTGACTCAATATTTATAATATTTTTATTGATTGTTCTATTAATTGTCCATCAATTACTCGGACCGAACTATTATATATCTGTGTATTGACTAAATATTTACAATATTTTCATTAATTGTTCTATTAATTGTTCATCAATTACATTTTATCACACACTCGATTGTTGATCTTGTATAAGACTATTTTGTGCATCATAAATACTTATACTCCCATTCATCATAAGCAAGGCCGTGAATAATTTCATCATAAGCAAGATCATAACTTCGTTGATGACAAGATTTTATTTGTCTCTCGCTGAGTTCCTATGTAGCAGGGTGATCGAATGTGTTTGGGTGGGTGTATATTTTTTACAAACTAGAAAATTCAAGTACATACCTGCCATCCCTTTTTTGTAGTCTACAAATAGTTGATCTCTGGGGGATAAGTCTCGGAGGAGGGAGGGAGAGAAAAAGGAGAGAGATTAAGATAGACACCACTTCTATCACAAAATCTAGGTTTCTCTAGTCTTGAAATTCATGAAGCTCAAGTATAAAAACTGATTATCCAAGAATCAAAAACCAATTAAATGAAATTTCAGGATTTGAATTGATTTGATACAAAGCACTTCAATTAAAAAATTTAAAGTTAAAGAAGATAATCTCAAATTTAAATGAGAAGAAACTCAAATTTAAAAAAAGATAAAATATGATCATTAGATCATTAAAAGAGAATGAAATATAATCATCGGTAATTTGAATAAAAAAATTGAGTCTATCTTGATTTGAATAAAAATTTAAATATTTCTTGATTTGATATGAGTTTGACTACAACATTAGAAAAAAAAATTTAGAATTTTTTATCTAAATTTAAATTTAATTTTAAAAAAGAGTAAGAGCCGAATGCTCTAACTAAGAAATCAAAACTAACACCAACTCAGAAAAAGAAGAATAGATCCAAGCAACCAAAATAACAAGATAAATCACATATTTGCATTTGATTACCCCTCAAAGTACAGCGGTTTTCTATATTTCAATGAACTTTTTACGCAACCAACCCACCTCCAGAGAATGTCAATTTAGGGATGAGTTAGTTATCTTCTTATTTTGATTATAAAAAAAAATCTATTTTCTTATTGGGTTTCAGAGACAGAGAAGAATTGACGATCATGAAAATGAGACCCACCTGACTCTTGACATGCCACAGCCTCGGGATAGTGATTAGAACAAGGCTTCAGTCACCACTGCAGAGAGATGATCATAAATTTGTCGAGCCACTAAGAAGCTTCACAATTCTTGAGCAATTTTGTAATTAAAGAAATTTACAGGGAAGATAATGGCTTAAGGAGCAACACTTGAGCTGTAGAGCATAGCCTGTATATCCACTAAGAGACCATTAGAGAGAGAGAGAGAGAGAGACGAAGACAGGAAGGTTAAAAGAGGGTTGTCTGTTTGTTCTTANCGAGCCACTAAGAAGCTTCACAATTCTTGAGCAATTTTGTAATTAAAGAAATTTACAGGGAAGATAATGGCTTAAGGAGCAACACTTGAGCTGTAGAGCAAAGCCTGTATATCCACTAAGAGACCATTAGAGAGAGAGAGACGAAGACAGGAAGGTTAAAAGAGGGTTGTCTGNGTAGAGCATAGCCTGTATATCCACTAAGAGACCATTAGAGAGAGAGAGAGAGAGAGACGAAGACAGGAAGGTTAAAAGAGGGTTGTCTGTTTGTTCTTAACCAGCCGGAAATAATTGCGCAGGAGAGAGAGAGAGAGAGAGAGAGAGAGAGAGAGAAAGGGCAGTAACTCGCGGCGAGGCTCGAGAGATGGCATAGATAAAATTCAGCCAGTCAACAGTACAGGAAATACCTAAAATACCCCCATTCGGCGTCAGTGTATATATTACACGCCCAAGGCTCTCATTCGAAACAACCCCCTCCTCTCTCTCTCTCTCTCTCTCTCTCTCTCTACCAAGAAAGAAGCCCTCACACTCTCTGCAACTCCAAGCACAATATCAGCGTATTANTACCCCCATTCGGCGTCAGTGTATATATTACACGCCCAAGGCTCTCATTCGAAACAAACCCCTCCTCTCTCTCTCTCTCTCTCTCTACCAAGAAAGAAGCCCTCACACTCTCTGCAACTCCAAGCACAATATCAGCGTATCACACTCTCTCTCTCCGCATGAATGTATGTGCATTCTTGATTGATTTCGCTAACTTCTGTTTGTTGTTGAAAGATCATCAATGGCGGACGGTACAAAAAAAGATGTCGATCTTACTGAACAAGACATCAATGGCAACAAAGAAGAGGACATAAAGAACCTTCAGACCGCAATAGGACTGGGCAAGCGTGATCGAGAGGTCTTCGAGAAGAAGCTGAATGAGTTGCGAAGCGTGTTTTATGACGATCTCGAAAATCTTGATCTTGAATTTTCTGAGAACATTCAAGGAATTGAACCGAAAATGTACGGTTCCAATGAGTTTCGGAAACGGTCTTCTCCACCATATCAAGGTCTCTCTCTCTCACTCCATGAATACGGTTTCCATATATCATTACATAGATCCGTATTTTTTTTGTTGATTGATTTCTCCTGCAAATTTCGAATTGTGTTTTATTGTTTTTCTTTATCGTAGGAGCAAGAAACAAATCTGAATTCGCAGAGCAAAACTGTAATGAAAACTTAGAAAATGAAATTCCCGACAAATTTTCGAAACTAAGATACGGGATTCAAGAACTAGACCAAAAGATGTATAAATTTGAAACTGAGTCGATACATGACGAGAGAAGCACAGAGGAAATAGAGGCGAAAAAAGGAGTAATCGAGTTGTTCCCTAGTAATCAATACGTCAAAAAAAATACGGATAATTTTACGGATGAGTTTGGTGACTTTGGTGGTCGTTGGGATGACTATACCTGCCATCTTCAACAGTCTGCGACTGTTGAAGCTTATATGAAGGCCACGGTGAATGGGATACAGATAAAATATGAGCTGATGAGTTTGAAAGAGCCTGACCAGTCCAATGATCGAACTGATGGTGGTTTCTATAAAAATGTTGAAGAAGTAGAACAGGAAATGGGTGAACAGATGAGAAAACTAGGAGAAAATGGAGACAACGAAGAACAAGGTGGGGTGAACAAGTCAAATGTGCAGTGGATCATTGAGGATGATGTTTCTGATGTTGAGGGAGTGGAATTTGATATAAGCAGAGGAAAATTCACAGGAGAAAACAAAGAAGTGACGAAAAAGGATTTAGATGAGAAGCAGAAAAAGACTACTCCGTCAGATGAAAAATTTGAGGCCTTAGAACTGATATCAAATCAAATGGTTGATCTCGAGACTGAGATCGCTAGCCTGCAAGCTGATCTTATGCTTTTGGTGCATGAAAAAGAACGAGTGGCGGAGAAGTATGCACTGTTGAAATCAGAACTTGTAAAGCTGAAGGAGGGCAATTGTAAGAAGGAATTAAAGATTTTCGATCTTGTGGAGCACAGTTTTACTGCTCTACTGGCAGAACCAGTTGATCGTGATCTAAGAGACAAATTTCAAAGCCAAATGGAGAAAATCAAAGCAAAATTGGAGTCAACACTGGATCAGTCTGAGGACATACTTGAGGAATCGATGACAACTACTGAAGAAGAGGAACTGCAAATGGTGAATGGTGCAGAGAATAGTACGAAGGTATTGAAGCAAATATGGCCCACAATCGCTGTTGTCACTGGAGCTTTTGCGGTAATAGGTGCTCTGTTTTGCCGCAATATCTTAAAGGCAAATGCACAGAAGAACAAGTAGTGAAATGGTTAGAATGCATTACTCAATTGTGAGGCATAAGATGTTTTAGTTGCTTTGACAATTGTTTTGAATTGCTCTTTGATTCATGTTAACTGCTACATTGCATTTCCTGAAGGGGTAGATGACTAGCTATATAGAATAAAAGATCCGAGTGCATGTAATTAGAGACACACCCACCAAGCTTCTCTTATGGTCTGTCTGATCACAATAGAAGATGATTTTTAGCTTTTTAGTAAATAGATTTGTCTGAGCTTCCTGGTTTCTTTGATTTGTGATATTCTAATCATAGTAGGTAGATTGCAGGCACTAGTTTGTCATGTGTTTCTGGAACGCTTGAGATATATTGTGATCGAGGTAGAATCTGTTTGCAGGACAGGGAGGGGGTATAATAATAAACTCTTCCCTTCTGCTCATCCTTTTAACATTGCAGCCACAACTTGGCCCCGTACCCTATTGTTAAGGTTCGAAGTTTTTCAGCGTGAACTGAAAGAAAATTTTCAGTATCGTACTGAAAATTATTAACTTTTTATTAACATCGGTCATGAAATATTATGATCATAATCTGATCAATTAAACTTCACTTTTAAAAATTATAATTTAACTTCAAAAAATAAGAATTTTTCCTTTAAAAATTATAATTTTTATCACCCTTTCAGTTGTAACAGCTAACTTAAAAAAATATAACTTGACATCAGAAAATTATAGTTTTTAATACAGTCTGGTACTGTAATCTTCTTTTGTAAATATCTCATCCATGTGAATTCTTATCTTGTTTATATATCTATATAATTCTATAAGGACATAATTTAGAGACATAATCATAAACCATATTCATTAGAACCAAAAAATCATTGTAATCATTAAATTAATTGAGATTTCTAATTTAGGATGAAACCCAATTTCAATCCAGTAAGTATAATTGTGAACAAAAGTTGTGAATAGTATTTGCATTTTAACTCCAAAGATTAAAAACCCACCCATTTGGGAGGGTGCATCCCTCTCCATTATCAAATTGTTTCGGATTAATTGTCAAAGATCATACCCAAGAACAAGCTCCATCAACCCACAACAACTCTCAAGACATTTGGGAAAAATATAATGACCACACATCAAAAGATCAAAATTGCACAGAAAAGCAACTTACATGGTCTAAAACATAGCAAGGAATAAACGTGTTCTGTTCTCCAAAAGCATTAATGAGAAGACTCCACGGCAAATGAAGTTCATTACTTCATATAATGTAATAATATTTCCTAAGCCTAAAGGCTCACTCATCCTCCTGGCTGCGCAACCTGGCAAGCTTGTTTGTGACAACAACGTCAAGCTGAGCAGCACGCTCCACAATCTCTTTCCTCTTCCTTGTGGACACATTGTGTGCAATCTCTGCACAGTAAGTCCTGCCAAGCAATAAGATTGGAAAAGCAATAGCCAAGTTAGGGGACTGAAAGGTAAAAAAAAAAGAGAAACAAAATGTGATATAAAACAAAAAGAATGGGGATGGACTTTATTGCTTTACCTGTTGTGCATCATCAGCACCTCAAGCTCTTTAACATTGTGCACAACAAACTTCTTAAAACCATTGGGAAGATAATGACGAGTCTTCTTGTCAGAGCCATAGCCAATATTAGGCATCAGAGTGCATCCCTTGAACTTTCTTCTGACCCGAGAATCAATACCCTTTGGTCTGCGCCAGTTTTCCTGTCAGGACACATTCAAGCATAATTAGTCCAAATAGATTCAATTAAAAGCAGTTCAAAGTTACAATGAACTCATATGATGAAAAAACACACAATGGTTTATATTTTGCCATTGTGGCCTGATCAATACATTACATTCTCACATTCATGTAAAAAGCACATCATAATCAACAAAACTGATTCTGGTTTACATTGAAAATTTCAATTACATACCAAAAAGATCAAAACAATGAGGATAAATGAGTCATAAAATATAAGCAGGGATAAAGTAACAGAGAGCTTATAAGAAACGAAGCTAACTGTGTCGCAAGACCTGTTTTACACTTCAATATATGCCCTTAAAACGAGATGCCCAGTAACACAAGAATCTGGACATCAGATACCATAGGCAAGTATAGCACGATATAATATAAAAAATACAACAGAAGACTAATATAAGTCTGCAATCTCAGCCGAAAGATGGTGAAAATGTATAATAATCACAGTTAAATCAGAGATGATTAATAGGCTTCATCATAGATTGCATGACCAGAAATCGATATCATGTAAACTTAATTGGAAAAGACAAGAAAATGAAATAAAACAAAAGTGGAGTCTATAAATTTGAGATTTGCAATAGAGATCAGATGGTAGTGCATGTTATATATTCATCATTCCACTGCAGAATATATGGATAGGCATCATCACACCTCCTTGCACATCTCCACTTTTATAACCTAAGTTGAAAGAAAATAAAATTTTCACCAAAAAAAAAAGCTAAGAAGAAAAATTCAGTTTCTACAAGAAGGAATCAGATACAACATGTCAATCACCATCCTGCATCAATAGATGCATGTAAGACTGGGGCGACAAAGACAATCATCATATTCCCTTTTAATCAGGTTGAGTAAACTGAAAAATAGAGTAAAAAGAGGGCAATGTTATCTAAGAGAAACCAAACCAGATAACTTGAGTTCAAACACTACCACAATGCCTCTAGTGTTTCCATGAGATTAACAAAAACAAAATCAGCTAACAAATAAAGGAGAGAAACAAATGAAAATGACAACATTTGGTTTAATTATTGTTCTGAAAGTGCTTAGCTTAAGCTGAGGAAGGGAAAAAAAAAGGTAAACTATGCTATCAAAAGCAAACTTATGAAATTGTTTCACTGGCCCAAAGATGAAATTAAGATTTCCCAATAGATTCAGAATATAGTTTATATAGTCATGATACCATAGAATCATGGAATACAATTACAGTGCTTATCCAGATACTTATAAACAAAATTCAACATTTTATAACTGCGTTCAAACTTGGTTATGGTGATTACAATGGAATTAAAATTTCATCAAAAACACTTGCATATATAATTTGTAAAATCACCTAAAACAACATAAAAGTAAAGCAAAAATGATAATAAACATGGGCAAAACCATCAAGATGCAGAACTGCCCAAAAAAACCCAATAAAAATGAGACGCGCCGGCATAAGGGTCAACAACTAATTCCGCCACCATTAATCGAGTGTGTTGTAAAGGGTGGAATATATATGTATTAAACACCGTTTGAAGAAAATGGTTATCCTCAAATTCAATCCCACAACCTCCCAATTGCCTGTCAGAGACTTCTCAACACTGACAAGGCAATGATCAACATGCAACATGTATATAATAGACACCCAACTTATCGCCTTTCTTTCTCTTCTGAACACAACAAGAATATATATAGGATGAAGTAAAAAAACCCAGATCAACTGACATAAATTATAACTAAGACGCACGCACACACACACAAATATGATTCATAGATTTAAAGATAAACTTTTGAAATGGGCATATATGAAAATAAATAGGTGTCATATGCATATATAATACCTTGACCGAGATTTTCCAATCGCTGTGGGGCCTTTTGAACTTCTTGACCCTCTTCTTCACGATCTTCTTCGTCAACAGAGGCACCGCCATTGCTCCTACTAACAACCTTACCCTTACCTTCTCTGCACCAATCACCCACAACAATCCTTAAAATCAGACATATAAACACACATACATACATGCACAGAGAGAGAGAGAGAGCATACGGTGGTTTAGGGTTCTTCTGAGCCGCCCAGCCTTGGTAGAGAGAGAGTAGCTGAAAGGTTATATAAGCACAGACACGGCCTTAACTAGGGTTTTTGAGAGTCAAACATTCTGAGATGATAGGCCTTACAATACAATTGGGTATAGGTCCAAAATCTAAATAATTTTGGGCCGAAGCCAAACTTTGTATAGAAATTGGCCCAGAATCACTGACCAAGCCCCAGCCCAGCCAAAGAAAATACACTCATAGTAATCTATGTATTTATTAGTTGCACACGTAGACTATTTTTTATATCAAACATTGTTTATTATTATTGCAATTGGTCTTTATCTTTATAAAATGATATGATTTCATCATGCTTGTAATTCCTCTAGCTCGACTGTCAAGTGCAACACACAACACAATTGGTATCACATTTTTTCCTCCTATACATATACAATCAAACAATTTTATGGGGCCCAAACTATATACACATGTATTTATATTCTCGGGGATTAGAAATTGTTTTTTTTTAAAGTTATTATGTCTTTGAGGATTTCGATTTGATGCTCGTTCTAATAAAAAAATTGCACGTCGCTACTCATTCTATTCAAATTTTATTTGCTTTGCATTGTCAAAAAGATTAAGGTGTTTGGAAGAGAAAAACAATACCTACTTTTGGGACCAAAATAAGGTAGAGTCGGTGTATGATTAAGTACCGCATAGTAACAAGAAGAAAAATAAATAAATAATAGAGAAAATATACGAATTCCATGAATTGTTCTTAAATCTATACATTTGAACTGTGGGAGTGTATGACCAAAAAATATTGTGTCTTGTACATGTTTTGAAGAAAAAAACCACTAAGACAAATATCCAAAGATAGAAGGTGATTCACCATAGAGAAATAAAATATTATTAGAAACTAATATATACTGCTTATAAATGTCAGCATCTGTAAAAAAAATTAATTTTCTTTTTTATCTTTATTTATTATTATAAAGTGAATAATACCCACAAGTTTAAAATATTTGGGAATCTAAAAAAGATTAGAATAACGAAACAATCCGCAATATGAAGAAAGCATGGATATCACACACAAAAATAGTCATCACAAGATTAAGAAGAAAACCTAACCTGAAAATTGTATGGCACATAAACTTTAAAAAGAAGGAAAAAAGAGCAATTCAACATACTAAGCTACTTTGTATAATACCAATAACAATTACAATTACAATAGTTTCCATTACTATTATAAGCGTTAAATCTTTATCAACTAATGATACTTAGTATAATATTCCCGCGCTTTCTGGGAAGAGTACACCATAGTTTTACATGAGATTTTGATTTTAGAATTGATCTGCTTGAGTTCGTTGTTGCGACAACAAAGAATTGGGTTTTTCACATGCACTCTGCATAGACACTGTCTAAAACCTTGATCTATTCGTTTATGTGGCGGTTATACTTCCCGACATCAACAGATATCTATTAAAAAAAATAAAAAATCTACAATAAGTGTTTCAATCAACGGGGGTGTTTGTGTAATGCAAAGAGATAGAGAAAGAGAGAGGGAGAGAGAGAGAGAGATTCTATACTTGTTGAAATAGCCCATTGATTTCAAAGCATACCACGCGAGAGTTAGGAAAGATAGAAAAATACATGGTTGAATTGAGAACCATTAGATATTGGCATAAAGAGCCGAGAATATGGAATATAGAAGCATTAAATTCCAATTATCGATTGTATATTGAATATGTATTACCAAAATTCATAATGTCTAAATTGACCCTATTTTTATTAGCTGTATATGTGAGTGTGAGAATATGAGAGACTTCCCGTACATAGCACATGATGGACCACTAATAGAGAAGATATAGAAAAGAGAGAGGATAGAGAAAGAAAAAAAAATTAGACAAAATCTCACTTTGTATCTTAAAAGATTATAAAAATATTTTATATTCTTAAAGATTAAAAATTTTAAATTGTATTCTTAATATATTAAAAGTGTTATAATATAACCTTTTTATTAACTTTCGTTATTTATGCCATTAAAAATCACGCTACTAACTTTGACGAAATGATTAATGGAACTTAACGGAATGGTAGGATTATAATATTTTTAATATATTGAGAGTAAAATGTGAAAAATTTAATTTTTGAGGGTATAAAATAAAAAAATTTAAATCTTTTGGAGTGTAAAATATAATTCACCCAAAAATTGATGGCTTGGATTCGATGACTCAAGTCAAGTCTTGTAGTTTGCTTTATGTCACCCCCTTTACTGCTTGGATAAGCAATTTTCTAATTGGCGATCTTACCCTCTCTTAATTCTCCTTTTATCTTTTAATTAATGGTTGCACATGTGTGTTCTCAACATTTGCTAATTTATTATTATTGAGGGGCAATGCTATGACTAGGGGATTAGGGGTGTCAATCGTGTCGTGTCGTATCACTTTCGGTACGTGTCGGATTCGTGTTAATAAAAAATTATTTAATTTGACAACAACTATTATAATACTATTTAAAAAATTATAAAATTCTTATTTTCTATCTAAACTACTCATTAAATAGTTATTTTCTATCTACAGTACTCATTAATCGTGTTATTCGTGTCACACCTTAATTTGATCAATTTATTACTCGTGTCAACGAATCGTGTTTTCTTCGGATTCGTATCGGATTCGGTTCGAGTCGGGTTCGTGTTCGTGTTCGAGTCAAAAATTAACACCCCTAATTGAGACCTAATTTATTGACATAATTTGTTGACTTAATTCATTGTAGACCACATCAACACATTGGAACTTGGTGTTGATCCAATGATTCCTATGAAACCATATCATTATACCAACAAATTATATCAGATTTTTAGGTCCAAATAATATTATTCTTTATTGAAACTCCATTCAATTACTAGTTTTGATGAGGATGGTGGAGATCATGCCATGTGTCTGTAAGTTGAAAGCCATTATAATAGCTCCTTATAAGTCGACTTAAATCTTAAACGAGACGATGGAAGACAATGTGAAATTCCGATGATACTAGTATACTCAATTAATCAAAATTGTTCAACCTACTAGACGATCGGTCTTTTTCATTTGTTGTCATCTTGGTTTGGCTTTGATGGCATTATTTGAATGATCTAGCGGATTATGTACATTCAACAATCTACTAACATCATCGTTTTTTTCTCTAAGTATTCAATTTAAGTTCAATTTTTCTCTCCAACTATCCAATTTATTCTTACATTTCCCCCAACATGTGAGCATAAAAAATCGTGACAAGAGCCTATTAGACCTAAGCCCATCCCATCCCATATACATATCAAAACCACTACTACCC